GGAGTGAGGAATAATTCAGAGCGTTAAGGGGCGATAAGCTGGTCACAGAATAGGTACCTCTACTGGGTGTATTGGGCGAGAGGGGTAAGAGAGATGGGGAGAGAGGGAGAGAGAAAGAGGGAGAGAGGGAGAGAGAAAGAGGGAGAGAGAGAGAGAGAGAGAGGGAGGGAGAGGGAGAGAGAGGAAGAGAGGGAGAAAGAGGGACAGAGATATATAGAGATATAGAGAGAAATGGAGACACAGGGGGAGACAGAGAATTAGGGATAGAGAGAGAGGAACATATATATATATATACACACAGAGAGAAATAGGCAGATTTACAGACAGATAGACGGATCGACAAATAGACAGCCAGACAGACAGGCAAAAACACACTTATATACTCATCATAATACTGAGGTGCCCCCAAGAGTAAGAAAACCAGTCCTATGAGATCCCTGTGCTCTGTGTGCTGGGTTCCGGAAGGTTCCGAGTTCAGTTCTTGTTGTCTGCCACCATAAAGTGAGAATACTTGTTGGGGTTGTGAACCGCCAGCGTGTTACTGACGCGCGGAGAATTTCCGCCCGCGTGACTGCCGTCGCCTCCGCCTACGTTGAGAGAGGTGATGTGCGACCAACAAGTGTAGTCGTTGAGTCGCCCATCCAGTTTAAGGTCGCGGTTCGAATCCAGGCCGCCCTCCCCAACTCCCATGAAGCTGCACTTATTGTTGTCGCCGCCACTCTCGCGCGCGGCAAACTGACGCCTCCTCACCATCACGCCGACCACGACGCCGACGACCACGCAGCAGATAACGACCGCCGCGGAGAGCGAGACGGCCACGGCAGCCGACGGGTTCAATCCGCCGCGCTCCTCCTCAGAACTCGCGACATCTCCACCGCCTGTCTCCCTCAACATCGCCGCAGTCTCCGCCGCCGCCGCCGCTGGCTTTTTTTCTCCGCCGCCAGCAGTCCCGGCGTCCCCGTCGTCGCTGGAGGAAAGCATCTCTTGTTCTGCCGCTGGGCGTGAAGCTGCCGCCGCTGCCGCCGCCGGCTGGAGCAGGGGTTGGAGAATGCGTTCGGCTTCGTCTTGAGAGACAATAATATTATCTCCATCATCATCATCATCATCATCATCATCATCATCATCATCATCATCATCATCGTCATCATCATCGGTCTCCCTCCAGTGTGCTGTTCGCAGTACGAATACTCCCTTCTCCTCCACCACCTCCCCCTCATCCTTCCCTCTGCCGCTGCCACGCGCGTCATTCCGCCCGGCGGACGATTCCTTATCGCTCTCAGCTGCGGCCGCTTTCTCCCCGCTCGTCTGCGTGCTTGTGGGAGGCGGGCTGCTCTCTGAACCTGTCTGTGACGACGGCTCGGCGTGCATAGGCCCCCTGTGGTGGGTGAGGAGAATCAGCGCCTCTGTAGTTTTCCACGCTTTACTTTTGTCATCATCATCGTCGTCTGTCTCAGCTGAGCTAGAGGAGGACGAGCTGGTGGGTGGTGGGTTGTTGGTGGGTGGAGGGTGGTTGGTGGTTGGTGGGTGGTTGGTGGGTGGTGGGTTGACAGGTAGTGGGTCGGTGAGTCGTGGGTGGTTGGTGGGCGGTGGGCTAGTGGTGGTAGGAGAGGCCAGGGCGTGGGCAGGCGTGGGGCTGTGCGGGAAAAGCGAAGGCATGAAGAGATCCTCAGACCACATGATGTGTGGCGGTAAAGCGGGGCTGGGGTTAGGCGGGGAAACCCCAAACCCCTCCCATCCGGAGATCCCCAGGAGCCAGGGTGGGGCGGGGCTGGAACTGGGGCTAGGGCTGGGGCTGGGGCTCTGTAGCCCCGCGGTGGGAGCCCTGTCAGACAGCCCCCTGGGTAGCCCTCTGAGCAAGGGGTTGTGGTAGCGTAACTCCCAGATGCCGCTCTGCCACACGTTCTGGAAGGAGTCCTGGGGAAACATGGCCGGGAACAGGTCGTCGGCAGGTGGGGCTTGAGTGCTGGTGGCGGGGTCAGGGTCCGGTCCGTGGGTTGCCAGGGCCAGTGGACGCAGGCCTCCACTAAAAAACGGGATGATGGCTGAAAACGACGATAATTATTGGGGCGCGTGCGAGCGGAAAAAGGCCGCGCGGTGTGGCTAGGCTAGCTACAACAAGAGTCCAACCCGCTACCAGAGACCTAGCAATGTTAACAATGCTAGGTCTCTGCTGCTACTTCTACGTCACGAGAAAACTAGGACTTGTTTTTAAGACGGCCGCTCAATGTCGAGGAGGAAAGAGGCTGTCTAAGATAGGTGGATAGTACAATTAAAATGTAAAACAGACGCAACAGGGAGTTGGGAAATAGCCGTTTGTACAGGTGATTGTCTTATAAGGTGGCTGTTAGTACAGGTGGTTGTCTTATAAGGTGGCTGTTTGTACAGATGGTTGTCTTATAAGGTGGCCGTTTTTACAGGTGACTGTCTTGTAATGTGGCCGTTTGTACAGGTGACTGTCCTATAAGGCGGCCGTTTGTACAGGTGATTGTCTTATAAGGTGGCCGTTTGTACAGGTAATTGTCTTATAAGGAGGCGTTTGTAAGGGTGATTGTTTTATGAGGTGGCCGTTTGTACAGGTGATTGTTTCTTTAACCCCTTCAATGTCGCAGGTAAATATAAGACACATGTGCCGGGGGAAATCCCAAGAACCAAGACGGCTCTAGGGTGACCCCACTCTATCTCCCATATTTTTTTAATTTATTAATATTTCCTAATGAATTTCTGCATGCACGTTCTACAACGAACCACGTTTCTATTGATATAATTTTAGGGGGATTTCATTGAGAGATAGATGGAGAAACGTTGGAGTTAGTAACATGATGCCAAAAACAACACCACCAAACAACATAAAACAACACACGTTCGAGTTATGATAAACTGAGACCCCCCCC